CTTCGAAAAGACACTGTCTTCCTCGTTGGATAAAACTTAAGTTCTGTCCAACATAACAAAAGATTATTCAGGTTTATTTACATCATAATTAATCTAGTTTTAAGCTAAAACTGGTTTTATTTTTAAAGAATCTTCGAATCCTCCTGTACAAACTCGTTCATCATCTCGTTTAAAACAAAAATATAATCCTATAAATGATCATTATTCATCATCATCATCATCATCATCAAATACAAATCATTTTGATTCATCTATTGATAAACGTTCAGCAACAATAAAACGTAATTTAAGTACTGAATTAATAACAACACAAACATCAGATCATTCAACAACAACTCGAGATGATTTACCATTTGGTGAATATAAATATCTATATTCATCATTATCTTCTTCCAAAAAATATCAAACAAATGAATGTCAGACATGTGATGATATTATTGAAATATTTCATCAATCAATACAAACAAATTGTTTAATTAAATCAGATAAATCAACTTATACAGATTTTATTGATCAACCATTATGTGAAAATAGTACACAGACAATACGTAAAGAAGAACAAGAAACTCAAACGACAGATCTTAATTGTCCAAATGATTCTCAAGTTTATTTATATAATTTAAAAACAACACATACACAATATGATGGTATATCAGATAGATGTTCATTACCATCATCATCAATATCATCATCATCATTACCATCATCACCAATATCATCTCCAATTAATTTATATGATCAACAACATCAACATCAACAAAAACTATCATCACCATATAGAGATTTTTCATTAACAAATAGTAATAATGATCGTTTACAATTATTTCAAAATTTAATACATACAGAAGAACATCCAAATGGTGGTGCAAGTTTAATACGTACATATTATAATGAATTTTTACGTTTATCTAATGAAAATGCTATATTATTTGTTAATTATTTTTTTAATCTTGTTTATGGTGAAATAAATCAACGTGCAAAATATTCAATTGGAGTTTTACATGATGGTGCAAGATATTTACCTGATTTAGTTGATTATTTTAGTTTATCATATCCTAAAATGATTGTTAAAACGTCAAATATAATTAATTCAAAAGAAGTTTTAACAACAACTATGGGAGAATATAGAAATCGTATTGTACAAACATATTCAAATGGTACATTTCGTTATGGACCATTAATGAGTATATCATTAGTTGGAAAAGTAACAGGCAAAGAAGAATGTGGTAAGAAAAGATAAATTTTCAAAGAAATATTGAAGTATAAGAACTAGAAGTGCAGAATCTACTCGCCGTATGCACGAACGAACGTTCAGAGAATTTTATTTTTGAGAATAAAACTTATTGAATTGTCAAATTATTTTTCTACGAATAAAAAGAAAACCGATTTGTATGAACGTATGTTCATCAAGGTTGATGTTAAAAATTAAGTATTGTACATCAAAAGATAGAGAATTTTTTTTTACTCTACATATTCACAATCTTAGTATGATTGTTAGTGTTTTGTTTAGAAGAAGTAAAACATTTGAAGATAAATTATCTTATTATAATTTAGACGCATCCTGTAAAATGCTGATTCTCGTACCATCAGATGCATAATTAAATTCTGAATAAAATAATACATATGTTTACTTAAATAGTTGAAATATTTAGGTCGCTTTGAATCAATTGATAGCAATAGATCATATTTATATTAAATTCTCTATTCACTGGCTTAAAAATCAAAATTTAAAATCATTGTTAAATGCTTCAAAGAAAGAAAATAAAATTGAATCATTTGATTATAAAGAATCTTTAATTCTCAGTTTAGCAGCAGTTTTTACACCACTGTAGAGGGCAAAAAATTTGAACTCATCCTCATAGACTATGACAGACGCTTGTCAAAGGATGAATGTTAATCACAGGGCATTATAGACAGTAAGAGATGCTAGTCAAAGGTCATCCCAGACACCAATGAGAGGGCATCATAAACCGTGACGAATGTTAATCATAGACGATGACAGGTGTCAATCGGAGATCATGACAGACGTTGAAATGTGATGACAGATTGTATGTCAATAAATATATGAACTACTTTTTTATTATATTTCTGGATGATTAAGTAAAATCATGTTGAAGAAATATATTTAAAAACAATCTTTCTATGAATAGTTAGGTCGTATTTCATATTTTTAATTTCATAGAGATTGTGTTAATAGTTTTCATTCAATTTATTTTATTTTTTTTTTTTTGTTAATATTTTCAGGAGATTATTTTCCAGCATTTATTGATAAATTAGAAGAAAATCCATTTTTACAACATGTTATGCCATGGGGACCATTATCATCAGTTAAAATGAAATCTCGAACAGAATCAAATGATGGACCAATTTTATGGGTTCGACCAGGTGAACAATATGTTCCAACAGCTGAACATAAAATATGTCATCCAAAAAAACGTATGACAAATGAATTAAGAAATTTAACATTTACTGGACGTGGAACAGATCCAAGAGAAGTATTAGTTGAAGATAGAACAAAAGCACATAGTGATCATTGTGATGCAGATGGAGTTGAAACGACAGCTGCAGTTGGAATTTTAAAAGCTGTACATTGTGGAACACCGTTAGTTATTCGAAAAAAACAACAATAATTTTTTTCGAATTCGTTTTTGCTTTTTTTTTTATTTTAAGAGCAACAATTAATCGAATGGTGAAAGATGTTGTTTGTTTTCATGCAGAAGATTTTGAAAAAGTTGTAGAAAAATTAAAACTTGATTTATATGAACCACCTACATCACAAGTAAGATAAATATTATTCTATTAATTGATTTTTTTCAAATAGTTCTTATATATAATTTTGTATTTGATTGACTATTTTCATTCATATTATTTTCTGATTAGATACGAAGAAAATATTTGTTCAACTTAAAATTGTGAAAAATTAGAATTAGATTTAATGATTCTAATTTGATATATGTTTCAAATCGATTGAGAGAGACTAAAGGGAATTTTTATTTTTATTGCTATTATGACATATCATTATCTTATATAATCTGATTCTATTGTTATTGATGTAATAAAATAATCAAAGTATAAATGTGTATTGAATATATCATTCATAATATTAGTTTTAAAAATTTAAGTTATATAATATCTAAAACTAGAAATCTTTGTAAACCTTAAACGGAAGACTTTTTTTGTCAAATTTTGACAATAGTACATAACATGAGAGCGAGGATAAGAGTGACATCTATTATGAAGTCCTTATTAAAACATATTATCGTTATGTCGTAATTTATGCTCGACTTGATTTACAGTTGGTACAGTCATGATCATGACTCGACTTTGATCTCGAAGAAATATCGTCATATATTCTAAACTTCTATTTATTATGTAAATGACTCATAATTTCGTTTTTATTTGAAAACGTTCAGTACACATAATTAAATTATATACAATAAATGACGTGCATCAAATCACAGATAACAATGTCATGATTCATATTATAAAATCAAACTTAAGATATATATATATATGATCCTCCTTGTTTTATTTTGAGAATAGAATAGAAGAATTTTTATTGAAAATGAACAATATTTAAAAAGTCGATGTAGATGATATCTCAGAACTCAGAAGAATTGATTCAACAAGCACCTGACTTGCTTAGCTGTGAATGATAAAATCGATATATTGAATCTTTGTCAATAATATAAATAATTCACAAAATGAATTTGTATTACTCGTGACCATTAGGGAGTTGCGTCTCCATAAAAACGTAGACTCGCAGCTCTCTAGTGACCACAGAGTAACGATTAAGAACTGTAACTATTGTGATCGTGAGCAAAAAACTTTGTCATGTCGAGTATTAGTTACTATCATAGACAGGGGTGGCGCGACACCCCCACAATCTTCAAAAATTTCTGTTTTTTTGCTCAACAAAATCAGGAAATTTTCTTCCATTTGTCACCAAAAACAATGTTACACCCCCCGAAAAATTGCAGACTTCGTCTTTCTAGTCCAAAAAATTTCGCTACACCCCCTCAATGTTGGTTGACTCGCGCCACCCCTGATCATAGATCTCGAACAACGAACAAATTCTAGCAATTCATTCATGATTTGTATATATGGAATAATTTAGTTTGCCTTATTTTGTTTTTTTTTTATTAGTGTCTACTATGGTGTGATGAAGGTAAATTGAATCAATTACGACGTGATGGTATTCGTTATGTTCGTTTACCATTATATGATAATGTAACTAATCAAAAAATTTTTTTTTATTCTTTCAAAATAAGTTTTTTTTTTATGAATTAGGATATTTATTTTATTCCACGTAATGTTGTTCATCAATTTCGTACATTATCAGCTGTATCATCAATAGCATGGCATGTTCGACTGAAACATTATTATCCAACAGAATTACCTGATGATGAATATACTCCTCTCTATAGTCCAATATCTGATACATAGAGATGAATGTTTATTATTTTATTTTTTAATATGCAAAAAAAAAAAAAGAAAAAAACATTTTGAACAGTTTTCGTTTGCAAATCTCACGAAAGAAATTTTTCTTTACGGATATATATGTAAAATATTCATGTAAACAAATTTAACAAAAAAATAACGTTTGTTTTTTTTTCTTTTGTTTATTCATCGCGCAATCTTTGTCTTTTTTTTTTTAAATTATATTTGCTGCGTTTACAATTGAGCAATGACGAATGTTTATTAAGCGCTTGTTTGTTTTGTTTTGTTTTTCTTTTTCTTAGACGTGTATGTGTAATTGTTTTTGTCGTATGTTTAAGCAAAATAACACAACAACAACAATTATTTATCATTTTATTTTATGCTCGTTTGACAACATTTTTTTTTTGCATTGACAAACGAGATGAAGATATTTAAGAAAAAAAAAATAAAAAAGAAAAAGTGGTTTTTTTTCTATTGGTCTTGTGACAATTTTGGTATACAAACAATTTTTAGATCATTTGGATGAATTAAAAGAAACAAAAAAAAAAAAAGATAACAAGATGTCACATGCAGGACAACGATTTAGTTCGTTACGGTAAAGTTAATAAGAAGATTCGATAATGTAGAATGTCATGGAATTGATGGATTGTTTTTTGTTTGATTTAGAATGGATATTGAGAGTGTATTAAAACCATTTGATGATGAACGACAATATTTAAGTAAGTAAAGCAATTTAAAAAAAATAAATAAAAGAACATCATTGAAATCAAAGTTATAATAAAAAAAATCTCGAATATTGTATTTTTGACTTTATTAATGTGGTTTTTAAAGTAAATAAAAAATGTCATGTGTTCCAACAGATGAATTCGATATTACATTGTTAAAAGATAGATTGAAAATTTTCTACAAGGTCATTTGCACATATTCTATGAAAACAATTGTAGTCAAGAAACTTGTACTAATTTTTATGATAAGATACGTCGACATGTCAGTTCAAGAATAGAACCGATTATATTCCGGAAATTGAAGTTTTTTCGAGCAATCAACTAGTTATTAATAATAAGAATGTCATATCTAGTATCGGTTCAAAAATCCAAACATATGTTCCTTGGTCAGGATTGATGGCGTAATCAGAATTTTGCCAAGAGATATGCGCGGTAGCTTCTTTTCCAGTGGTTCAGATATATAATCATGTTAAATCTAGTCTGGTTCCGGCTTAGAGAAGACAAGTTTCGAATTCATTCGCATTAAATCTAAAAAAACAAAGTCTTACATACTCGTGTTTTGATTAATCCAGCTGATGACTGTTACTTTGTTTTGGTTATCTCTCCTCAATTTTACTTTGATTGATGTAAATCATAGAAAATTTAAGTAGAATTTTTAGTTTCAGTTCGAACAATGTTTTCTCATAGTGTCGATCTCGCATACAGAGTCTATCAGATTGACACGGGTCTGATCATTTCGCTTGGTTACGTCACTGACTTTGAAAATCTTTATTTTTTCAAGTTTTGAAAAATCCACATAATGTTTTTTTTTTTTTTTCATTTAGAAAAACTCCGTAAATCATCTGCTATTGAACCAATTTTATTTCGTTTATTTGATTTATTAAATGCTGAAGATTATCGTTTATTATTTTCTTCAATAAATCGACAAAAATTAGATTATAAATGTTTAGAAATATTTAGTAAATTATGTATGAAACGTTATTTAGAATTAGATGATATATTTTTTTCGGAAAATAATTTTCCTAATAAAATTAAATCAGAATTAAATAGAAAAATAATATTTCAAACTTATATTAATTATCTTAAAGATAATTTTAAAAATTTTTTTTCTATTCATTATTTTCATGCTATTATATATGAATTTGAACAATTAAATAATTTTAAAATAGAACAAATATCAAAACAATTAAATAAAAATAATGAAATAATTCAAAAAATTTTTTTATCATTTAATAATAATAATAATCATCATTATCATCAATTTAATGATGATTCAATTATACATATAAGTTCAACACCAGCACAACCAATTCATCTTAATTATAAACCAATACATATGATTTATATACATACACCTGTTCTTATAAAAAATGATCATAATTTACAATTACCATCAAAAGGTTTAATAAATACATTTGTTTCTGATTTAATGAATACAAAAATAGTTAATATTCTTAATGAAACAACAAATAAAACTTATGATATACCGACAAAATATTTATTTTTTGCTCAATCATGTGAAAAAAATATTATTTTACCATTAAAATTACGTGTACTTATTATTGATTCTCAAACAGGACAATATCGTTATGGTTTAATTAGTGAAGAACCAGGAAAAAATAATAATTATCGTTGTTTAATATTTTTTATTGATGATAAAATAAATATATCAGCTAATTATTATTTATCATCTGATATTCATATTTGTCTTGATCAAACATTTGAATATGAAAATGATTTTCTTAATTGTTATTTTAAATCTTATCCTGAACGTATGATGTTACGTGCTAAAGAAGGTACAATTGTTAAAATACGAAATATATTTTCAACAAATAAAAATTTATTTATACAAGCTATTGTTATACAAATTGATTGTTCAATGATGTTAATTGAATTAAGTCATACAAAACAACGTATATGGATTTATCGTGGTTCAACATTAATTGAACAAATGAATAATTATTATTCAACACAAAATAATATTGATAATAATAGTTTTAGTAAACATTCAGCTAGACAACATTTATCAGCAAGAAAATCAAATGCACCTGAAATTATTTGTCTTAATGATCAAATGAAAACAAGAAATATACGATCGGCTGAACAATTAATCGAGGAAATAAGTTAGTTTTAAATTATTCGAATAAATTCGATCGATAAAATTGAAATTTATGTTTGAGTAGATTTAAATCTTAGAAAACATATTTATTTCAAATGATTTAAGATAATCTAATCTTTTTTTTTTGCTGAATATCTGTATATAAAATGAACTAATGAAAAAGAAAAATTAGAATTCTGAGAAACAAACTATATTCGACTCCCGAATGTCTTGCGAAATTCTAAGAAAAGGGTGTGAGTGTGACTCTACTCTTGATCTACACTCACAACAGACTATCGGACACATAGAAAGAAGAGATGAGTACCTTGTCGAGACCAAATCTCGTAAACACCACTTTTCAAGATCGCATTGCGACGATCTTTCTCAGCTAAGAAAAATGCGGCACAGTCATCAGGATATTTACTGAGAACACGCATGTCACTTGCTCAGCTTTGGATGTTTATTGAAATGCCGACGACCAATTCTCGAGCCAAATCAGTATAACTATCACATATCCGTTTACCCTTGCAATGATTACAGCCAGTGATGATACATGTAGTGCTAGTAATATTTTCATCGGACTTATTGCTTTAACGAGAAAGTTACAAGGAAAAATGAGTATTTGTCGCACATTTTATAAAAACATTACATACTCTGAATTACTTCCGACTTTTCAAAATGTTGCAAAACTTTTATCACATCCGATAATTAATATGGGAAAAGAAATTCTAAATGAAAATATTTCGATTGTCTACAACGAAAAATATATTTTATTTAGGATCTGTAAAACGAGCACGAATATCATCCAAACAAGATGCACAAAAATCATTATTAATACAAACAGAAACTCATACATTTCCATCAGATCAACAAAATAATACTTCAACAACAGAATCATCAAATCACGTTATCACATCAGTACAATTACGTTCTAATCATGTTTGTATTTTCACTTAAAAAATTTTCATTTGATCGATTTGTTTTTTTTGTTTTTGTTTTAATAGACAAATACAAATCCAAAAATTATAATTAATCCATTATTTCTTGAATTAGCTGGAAATTTTCTTTTACATTATTCAAAAGATTTTATTCCACATTATTGTTCAAATAAATGTGTTATGTATGGAGAAAAATATTTGAATCAATTATCAAGAACAATGAATCCATTTTTAAAACCAATTGCATGTCAATGGACAATACTTGAAACAGTACGAATAAAAAAAGCTAACGATATTCGTGTTAAAAATTCACGTCCAATTATTATTTATTGTTCACCATGTTTGTTTAATTTATTTTTATTTTTTTATTTTTCTATATTAAATTTCAAATTTTGTAGGTGGAAGAAAATTATTTAATGAATCTCAAGTTGATAATTATCTTCATTTAACAAATTCTAAATTATCAATTGAATTATTTGTATTTGATAGTTTAGTTAATATAAGACAATCTTATTGTTCCGATGGTAAAATAATAAGTTCAGATATATCCGATGGACAAGAAAATGTTCCTATAATAGCTGTTAATGAAGTTAATAATGATATACCAAATACATTTACTTATCGTGTTGAACGTACACCAGTTAAAGGTGTTAATATGATTGTTAATGAACCAACAATGACATGTTGTTCATGTACAGATGGTTGTAGAAATAGAATTCAATGTGCTTGTAAGTTTTTAATCTGAAGGGAATTTTGAAGAAACTTAACATTGCTATTAGCAAAGACATTGTTTTTATCCAACATGATACGTTAAATATAGCATAAAGACTGTCTCAGGTTGCGCAAACAATTTATATTCTCTAGTGAACTCAAGGATAGAATTAATTTATTAACTGTCGCTTTGAAAATTTACAAATGCTATCTATTCTTGATGGTCAGCCTTACAAAATCATAAAGACAGATCAATCCGATCTTACACTATAGAGTTCAAGAATTGCCTTTTTTTTTAAAAAGAACAAGTATGACTATGTTAGATACGAAATTAAAGTTCGCTGGGTCCAAAATTTTCGGATCCGGTACAAACCCGACGGTCGTTATCCGCAATACATTATTATGCATAAGAAGTTTATTTGTGAAGTTAAAAATAGATCTTTCTCACATTAAAACAGCAAGTACTTATATCAGATGTTAATCAGAGGATAAAATACACCGAGAGGCAATATAATACAGTTAGAATATGTTATTCAAAAAATAACCACCTGTCTCACATTTCTTTTTAGTTGACTTTTTTTTACATTAAGCTTCTAATCATTACTATTATTCTTCGATTGTCCTCTATTTTAGTTTGAATATTGAATATTTCTTATTCAGTTACCACTGAATAGATTAACCTTAAACTTTTTAATCAAAATTTCATTTATCTACTGTTGTATTGTTTCATTTAGTTTACTGTAAATCAGATAAGACTAATTCCATCTTGTTCTTTGTCTTGCTCTGGTAGTTATACAAACTTACATTTTCCTATGTACAATAGCGACGATCTTAGGTTACTAAAAGCAAGTTGACTCGAAATTTTCTATTGAAAAAATATATTAGATCAGAGAATTTCTATATTCTTATCATTGTTCAACCCAAAATAATAGAAATATTTATTTATGAATTCAAAAAAAATAGGTTGGTTACGTACATTAAAATATGCTGAGTTAGTCGGTGATGAACGTATTAAATCAATGAGAGCAAAACATAAAAGTCAAGCTGAAATTCTCTATCAACTTGGTTATGGCTTTCGACGTTTACATAAAAATGTTCCTGGTGGTATTTATGAATGTAATAATAAATGTTCTTGTAATAAACAAACATGTTCAAATCGAGTTGTTCAAAATGGTATTATTGCACAACTTCAAGTAATTATTTTCTTTAATAAAAATTTCTATTTATTTATTTTTTTGATAACTCTCTTTTTGTTTTTGAAATAGTTATTTAAAACTGTTGGTCGAGGTTGGGGTGTACGAACTTTACATGATCTTCCAGTAGGAACATTTATTAGTGTTTATTCAGGTGAAATATTTACTAGTGAACAAGCTGATGAAAGAGGCAAATTAATTGGTGATGAATATCAAGCAGATTTAGATTTTTTTGAGGTAAAGATATTATAGAAAAAAAAAAGAAAGTTAATTAATTGATTTATTTATTTTTTTATTCGAAATATTTTTTAAAGAATATTAATAATGATTCAGAAGATGACGAAGATGAAGATGAAAATAGTGATATACATTCAGAATTAGATAATGATGAAGATGAAGAAAATAAAATGCCTTCATCAAATAATGAATCAAGTAAATATTTATCGAAAGATTTTCTCTTTTTTTGTTCAAAAAAAATAACTTTGTTAATTTTCATTAATAAACCTTTAGGAAGTTTACGTTCACGTGAATTATCCAATAAAAAAGATCGAAAAAAATCATCGAAATCAAAACTTCATAAGAAAAATAAAACTTCTACATTAAATCGAACATTGTTACCTGATTACGATGGTGTTGTCTATACCCTTGATGCTAAATTAATCGGTAATATTGGACGATATTTTAATCATTCATGCTCACCAAATATTGCTGTACAAAATGTTTTTGTTGATGTAAGATGATGATTTCCTTTTTTTTCAAAATTATCTTGCAATATACTTGTTTTTTAGACACATGATATACATTTTCCATGGATTGGATTTTTTACTACAAAAACAATTCGAGCAGGAACAGAATTATGGTATAAGACAAAATAAAAAGAAAGAGAAATAAAGGATCTCATCGGATATGATGGCCTATCTTGAATCGGAATACCATATATGTGGTTTTGTAGAACAATTTGCGGTGCATTGAATGGATAATCAGCATAGCATTTCTGATGAACTAATATAAATAATTCCTTTATGAACGGAAAAAAATTTTTTGCCGTTCATATCCTGAAGAGGGGTACGGTTGCAGGAAGGAAGTTTGTTATTTTCATTATTTCTTTTTCAAATTGTTATTCCGAGCATCTAGGTTTGACTTATGCATGAAACTCGACAAGAATCTATAGATATCTTACGTTCATTTAAAAAAAAATGAATTTTTTCACATCTCCGTACCTTCCTACAGGGATCTGGATGCCAAAAAAATATTTTTCGCTTATAAGCGAGTTATATCAATTCATCAGGGTTGTTCTGTTAACTATTGATAATTCAAAATTTTTAATAGTATCGTTGAAATAGCGGTAATATGCCGACTGTTTCATATAGGAATTGATACTCACTTGTTGTGTGATACAGGATTGAACACTCTAGAATACCATATTGTCTTGTCAATAAATAACTATTTTTAACTATGAAGAAAGCAACGATAAAAACCATTGATTATAGAAAATTGAAGAGCATCTATAAGTTTATCAGAAATTTGCATTCATTTATCTTAGGACTACAATGTCTATGAATACTATATATTTTCTTTCAAGGATTACGACCAGTATATAAATCCTTTGTGCATCAAAATTTTCATAAAATTCGATTTCTTATATGCCATTCAATACGTCACACATTGTTCTATGATACCACATATATGGTACCTTGAATCAACACACAAGTCACTAAATCTAACGGAGCCCTTTTTATTTTTTGTTTTTTATTTTTCGTTTTAGTTGGGATTATAACTATACAGTAGGTGAAATAGCCGGTCGTCGAATGGATTGTAATTGTGGTTCATCTGAATGTCGTCGTCGAGTTCTCTAGTCATTGATAATAATCAAAGCAATAAAATTTCTATACATATAATTTTGTGCATTGTAGATTATTTTGTTATTCTTCTAAATTTATTGTGACATGAATTCTTTTGGCAATAAAAAAAAAAGTGAATGTTATATTTGATAGAAAATAAAAATCTTCGTATTGTTTTTTTGACAATAAGAAAAATCTATTGGAAAAATATGAAATATTTATGAAGATTTCGAAAGATAATTAAATGTTTTAGAATATGATAATATTTCGAAAATCTATAGATGATTTTATAAGTACAGAAGAGAACTTTAAGAATAGCATTCGACTTAATTTTGGAAATAAGTGAATAGACAAAGCCAAAATCACTTAAAATAACTTATGCAAGTGGTACTCATACAAGAATATTTTGTTATTGATTTATATTAGAGTGATGACTTCCCTTACATATTCAACGTTAATATTTTATCCAATGGGAGCATCGAAAGGGTGGCGCTTCTCTGATAAAGGAAACCTACATAAAAACATTGTTTAATGTGTTCATTTTAATACTTTCTGTGTTAACTGTCATATTCATTTTTGTTCTATATGTATAATGATGAAAGATTTGAATAAATGCTTCAAAGATTATTGATGAAACAGCTGTAGCTAAAATAACAATCTTCCACATACATTTGCTTAATATAAAGAAAATAGTAATGCAATTGATTTTGTACAAATAAGAAAAAAGAAAAGAACTTATTTTGTCTGATTGGCAAGCCAACGACTGTTGATTGAAGTTAAAAAAAGCAAAAAAAAAACAAAACTACGAAAAAGAAAGGACTTTGTTTTTATTAAATCTATTTTGCAATGGAACTTTTCAGTTTCTAAGTTTTTTTTATAATCTACAGCTATCACCATGGGCAAAAAGTATTTTCAATTTCTCCGTAAACAGTTCAATAACATATAATTTAATATACAGATCATCTCAACGTCGAAGACCAATTACAAGTTTCCCATTAAAACAAAATTTTCAAAACTAATTTAAGAAAAATATTTGATTTTCAAGATCTGATTAAAATTCTAATATAGTCTCAATAGAGTTGGATCGGTCTACTGGTTACCGATTGGTGACATAGAACTGACGGATTGTTGTACTACTTCATCTGCGGATAGTGATATTTCACATAGCGAACTTTCATTACACATCTTCTATGTGATAATAAGAACAAAAAAATTAATAAATAAGACACACTGGTAATGACCAATCTGAAATATGCATCGGTTCTACCTGAAATTCTCAAGGACTCTATCAATCTGTTACATCACGATTGATTTTTCTTATTTGCACTAGTGTTTCTTACACAATCAATAAGTGTAAACAGAATATGTCGTTTTCTTTTTTTCGTTCTTTGGCTTTTTTTTTTCAATAATGGAATAAAGTAATACTTTATAAAACAACAACAGTTCATCTGTACACATAGAAACCGATTGTTGTGAAGTTAGGAGGTAGTGAGATCGTTTGTTATTTGTTCTTTTTTTTTCTCTTTTACTTTCTTCTCGTACATTCATTAGTTAACGATGGAGAAAAGACGTAGAAACTGTTAACGGAGAGAATAGCATGTCTATATATATTGCATTAAATATATATAAAATGAAAAAAAAAACTTTTTTTTTTTACATTTCGCTCGTTGTCGTCGTAACTTAACTTTCTCACTCAACACATTTCTTTCAGTTTCTTTTTTTTTCTCTCTTCTTCAGCATCGTCTTGTCGTCGAGTAAGAAGAAAACATTCAAAAGTTTCAATTAGTATTCATTGTCAGTACTAAAATTTATACATTCCTATCAACAGCTGTTTTTTATTTGTTGATAACAAACAAAAAAATATGGCTGAAGATCTTGAACTAAATGATCCACGGATCTATTTTATTGCTGATTATGTTCTTAAAACTCTTAAATTAAAATCAGATAAATTTGCTAAAATGTATGGTATAGAAGAAAATAAAATCATATTACATGAATTTTTTGATAAAGCTGATTCACCAATACTTGTTATACAATATACAGCAGCTGGTTCACTTCAGCCGACTGTATCATTTCCAAATGTATTAAAAAATAAATCATGTTATTTTATTAAAAAACGTCGTGAAAATATTCCAAGAGATGCTGTCTTACGTGATGTTATTATGTATGGAGATTTATCAACATCACCTGTTGATCAACTTTCAGCAATGGTTGATGAAGTATGATTATTATTTTTAGTTTTTGTTGTTTCTTAAATTCTTTTCAAAATATTTTTTTCTTTTGCTATTTAGCTATTGATTCCTCTTCTTCAAAATCCATCAAATAATGAAGCATGGCCAAAAGTACTCTCACAAGATATTCTTCGTCATGCATTGGGTATTAAAAATAAAGTACAGATCTTAAATGGACAAATGAAAGGTTTGTTAATTTTGAATTATTTTATTTTATATTTGTTCAACTTGTGCGAAGTCTATCAGTTGCTAAGCAATAAACACTATAGATGTATTATAAAAACAAAAGAAAAACACAAAATTTTTTATTTTTTTTATTTTGTTTATTATTTCTGTAACTAAGATTAAAGAATACAAATTCGTTTCTTAGCAACAAAGAGACAACTTCAATATTCTGAATTATGAAAATTTCGATAGAATAGATAAGTCATATGATAGAGCTCGGCGGGTACGAGTAAAGCTCTCGATACATTAGTAGATCTTATCGTTCGTAAGTTATAAGAAAGGTCTTCTATTATCTTCTTCAAAAAATAAGTTTATTTCACTTATCCAACATGCGTAGAATTAGAAAGAAACAGATAATATCTTGTGAAAAAAAAAGGAGACAATCATTAGTAAAAACAATATTATTAGAACGATATATCCTAATATCTTGATATAATGTCTAATAGCATTCTTTTTTTGTTTTCTAAATGAGATAAGATCTGTTACTGACAACATTTAACATTCTCAATAGTGGATTAAAAAAACAAAATTGAATTTTTTTTTTGGCAAACTTATTTAAGTCAGTTGCTTATGTTAAGATTAGTATAGTTATTAGTCTCAAGCTAACTTCAACGAATACGATTGTCTAGGAAGAAACAGTTTAATAAAAAAAAAACAGCAGTTGAGTACACATTCAGTGTTTTTGTGTATATTTCAAAAAAAATACCTTTACATTTTTTTGTGAAAGAAAACACATTTTCAGACTCACGAGGGAGCCTCCTCAGGTGTCAAATTGTTGTTCGATCGAGACGATGTTTATATATTATGAGTAATAAAAAAAGTCTTGAATGGTTTGATTTTTCGAGTCTTCATTCTCGAGATATCGAAATTTTACTAGATTTTAATTCATTAAGTAAGTTGTAAACTTTTTAATACGTTCTTTTCTGAAATATTCAATATTCGAAATTTTTTTTTTTTCATTTGTGAAAGCAAATTTTGTTTATATATTTACATCTCTAGAAAGAAAGTACTAGTTGTACAATCAACCAATCTCATTAAGAACTTTGCAAAACAAAAAAACAAAGGAACTAAATTTTTTAATTTTTAGGAAAAACACTTTTACCAGTTCCTGCTGGTGCTGAACGTGTTACAGATGATGCTGTAAATGGACAACAAGAAAATGGTCATGCTGCTGCAGTTGATAGTAATTTATTACATGCAATTGAATCTGTTGTTATTGAATGGTCACATCAAGTTCAAGATGTATTAAAAAAAGATTCATCACAAGCATTACTTGATGGTGGTAATGCACTTCCAGGTGTTGAAGTCGAATTTTGGCGATCACGATATACAAATTTATTAAATATTCATGAACAAGTGAATTGTTAAATCTTTTTTTTTTTCTAATATAAAATTTAGAAAGAAAAAACTAATTCTTCTTTTTTTTTTCTATTCTTAGTTAAGTGATGCACGAGTTAAAAAAATGGCTGAATTATTACGAAAAACAAATTCAAGTTATTATCCAGCATTTGAATCATTATTAAATGATGTTAATGATGCATTAAATGAAGCTAAAGAAATTGATATTTATCTTAAACCAGTTGCACAACATTTTGATGGAGTTGAAACAACAGATTTTGGTGAAACGGCATCGCTTTATGGGCCTATGTTTCATACACTTTGTCTCATGTGGGCTAATTGTAAAGCATATCGACGACCAGCACGTATTATTGTTTTATTGCAAGAATTAAATAATCTTATTATGAAACAAGTAGGAAATAATATTGAAAATAAATTATATTAAATTTGGTTTTTTTTTTTTTTGTTTAAATTTTAGGCTTCAGAATTTATGGAACCACTTGATTTATTTAAAGGTGAACCAGATGAATCTATGGAAAAAATCAATCAAACTGTTCGATCACTTGAAGCATATCAATCAGCATATTTACAGTATAAATCTAAATTGAAAAATTATTTTAAAAATGGTGAAATGGTTAAAGAATTTGATTTTTCACCAAAATTAGTTTTTGCTAAATGGGATAAATTTATGGAACGTGTACGAATTATTCAAGATTTATTTCAAACAGCTGCTGAATTTCTTCGTTTAGAAAAAGTTGAAATTGGAGGTTAGAAAAAAAAAAACAAACAAAATTTTACGAGAGAAGTTCTTCAACTGATAAATCGAGACTATGTGCTTTATGTAGACTCAGATAAACTATGAATAGAGTTCAGACTCTTATGAGCGAATCATCCAAGGTGATACCTCCCGTTTGAGATGAGATATCAGTCATATGTTATTTCAAAAGGACGGAAAATTTAGGTAGTTTTTTGTGGATTGAATATCAGTAAAAACTTAGCGTTAGCGACATGACACAAAAAAGGAACACGACTTTTACTTCATGGATTTTAGTATAAAAAATCTTTGAATTAAAGTAACATTTTGAAAACTAAATAGTACATTCTGTAGACAACTCTTGAGGCTATAAAATCTCTGTGGAAAGTTTTTCCCGAGCAAGTCTAGATTTTTCAAAAAATCGAATTACTTTTCTTTAGCCACATGACGAAAGACAACAAATGCTCTTATAACCGAATGAGAAGTTCAAAACTATACAAATCCTTCTTCAGAATCTTTAGGAAACCGGATTTTTTTTTGGAGTCTGATCTGAGAATTTCACCATAGGTGTGATTCGATAGATATTCGCTAATTACTTTTTACTTTATAATCAGCTGAAAGATCCAACATTTCTACCTATATCTATACTAAAAGAACTTATACAGTAAAATAATTCTTGTAAAGAATCAAAGATGGGTATATTTCTTTTTGTCTGAAATCCTTTATAACTCGGAAAACTTAATGTTCTTATTCCAGAATAAAAGCCAATCAAAAGAGTTGAAACTTTCACTACAAACTACTCTTGTTAAGGCTTGTCTCTATGCAAAGTTTCAACTCAAAAATTAGTTTTCCTGCTATCACGGTATTCATTTTAAAACATATTATAAAATTGTACTATGCTCACAGTAATAAACTAAGAAAACGTACACTTTTCAAGGTATTCATAGCTTATTTAAATTTATATAATGTATATAGTCTTGATTTATTAGTTGAAGGACTTTTCTCGTTAGAAAAAAATTGTATTGTTGTTTTTTTTTTGTTAAATATTCTATTTGATTTTTTCAGGTGTCAAAGGCAAAACACTCAGTTCACTTGTTTTAAATATTTTCGAACAATTTAAAGAAGAATTTGAAAAAATGAGCAATAAAAAATATGATCCATTAGATCCAGCTTGTATCGTATGTTTATTTATTCTTATTAAATAAAAGAAATTTCTATAAATTATTTGTTTATTTTTTCTTCTCATTAGGAATTTCTTGATGATATTGCACATTTTAAATATTTTCTTAAAGATATGGAACTTAAATTAGCTTCTATAATTAATCAAGCATTTGATGATTCAAATAGTCTTACTAGTCAATTTAAACTTATTTCAATACTTGGTTCATTACTTGAAAGACCAACAATACATGAAGCATTTGTACGAAATTATCACCGTTTAACACTTGCTGTTGAACAAGAAATTAATGCTTGTCATGAAATTTATGAAAGACAAATGGCTTATAAAAAAGAACATGGAACAATTGAATTACATCGAAATAAACCACCAATTGCAGGTTCACTAGAATGGTAATGAAGATCTTTTTTTTTTGAGAATAATACATTTGAACAAAAAAAAATAAATAAAACAAATATTTTTTTTTATATAGGGTCGACGAAATGAAAGATCGTATCAATGAACCAGTTGATGCATTTACAAAACTTGATCATGCGTAAATATTTCTTTTCTTCAGTTGAGAATAAAAAAAATTTACAAATTTATTTTTTTTTTGTATTTATAGAGCTAAAGAGACTGACGATGGAAAACGTGTTTTAGCAAAACATGAAGAAATTCTTCAATTACTTGATAAATTTGCTAAAAGTATATTTGATGAATGGTCGAAAAATGTTGGTCAAGCAGCTAATTTTAATCTTAAACAACATTTACTTACACGAAATCCAGAAACACAAATTATTACAACAAATTTTGATCCACAAGTAATTAAATCTATATTACAAAAAAAATAAAAATAAAAAGTTAAATTGTTATTTTTTCTTTTTCTTTTTCAAATAGCTTATCGGTGTTTTACGTGAAGTTAAATATATGCAACAAACAAAAGCAGGTACTAGTGCAAATATTCCTGAAGATGCAACAAAAATGTATCAAGAAAATGAAAAATTTGTTAATTATGTTACTAATCTTGATTATACAACAAAATCATATAATAAAGTTCGTCTTACAATACTTCCTGTAGAAAAACCACTTGTTGAAAAACAATTAGAAGAAATTGATAAAAAATTAACGCGTGCTGAAAAAGAATTATCATGGTCAACACCAGGTAAAGTTCAATTTCTTCTTCTTTATTTATTAAATAAATTATATATATAAGACGTTATATATTAATCGTGTGTATATATACATATAGAATTATACATAATTGAATCTAAACTTTATAAGGGTTTGTTTTGCATGATTGTTTTGTTTGTTTCGTCGTCATATTTATTTTATACATTCATTCATAATTTCGAAAGTATAAATTTTTCAAGCGAATATTTCTAGTGGGAAAAAATATTCAATCAATATGAAACCGAACCCATTCGTATTTGTGTAATCCCCGTTCTTCCCTCACTTTACATAAATAAATCATTTGTAACATATAAATTTCGTTGTTTTTTCTTTTTGCAGAAATTTGGGATTATATAAAAACAACACGTGCAGAAGTTCATGATTTAGAAAATCGTTTACATAATGCAAAAGCAAATGTTGAACAAATTCAACGTTTAATGTCAACATGGCAAGATGTACCATTATATAAACGTTCCGAAGGCAAATCAACATTACTTTATTTAGATGATAAAGAACAACGTTTAAATAATCGTTATAAAGAAATTGATGAAACAGGAAAAAAAATTCATGGTTTATTAAAAGAAAATGGTGAATTACTTAAAGTTGAAAATTATGATAGTGATGCATGGAAAAATTATGTTGATTATGTTGATCAAATGGTTTTAGAAGGATTTAGAAAAATAATTAATTGTAATTTAATGTTTTTCTTACGTGAAACTGATCCAGTTCAAAATCCTGATCCACTTTTTGAATCACAATTACAATTACAAGTAAAAACAATCTTTGTTTCTCTTTTAATAAATTTAAAATTCTAAAAATTATTTCTTTTTTTTTCTTTCTAGGCACCAAATATGTTATTCAATCCATCAATGGATGAAAATGATAAAAATACATTTTCAGAATTAATTGAAGATTTACTTGATACAATCTATAAACAAGGTTCATTAATACCACGTCTTGCTACTCATACAAATCAAGCTAATTATCAAGATGCACTTGAACATATGCAAGATCTAGCTGATTTACGTACTGATTTTACTGATCGTGTACATGCTGTTATAGCTAAAGCTAATGAATATCGTGCATTATTTAATAAATATGCTTATTTATGGGTTGATGATCGACAAGAATTTATGCGACAATTTTTACTTTATGGTCATGTTTTAACACAAGAAGAAATTGAAGCAAATTCTGAACAAGGTGTTCCACAAAATCCACCAACATTACAACAATTTAAAGAACAAGTTGATACATATGAAAGTATTTATGAAGAAGTTAGTAAATTTGAAGATACAAAAATAATAGATAAATGGTTTCGTGTTGATTCTCGACCATTTAAACAAGCTTTACTTAATATTGCTAAGAAATGGTCATTTATGTTCAAACAACATCTTATGGATGATGTTACAAATAGGTAAAAATAAAATGTTTCTTATTATTCTTTAATCATCTTTCTTTTTTTTTTTTCAGTTTACAAGAATTAGCTGATTTTATTAAATTACATGATAAAGGTTTAAATGTTAACATAAATGAAGGTGATTATGATTCATTAGTTGAAGTTATGTCTCATCTTGGTGCTGTACGTGAAAAACAACCAACATTTGATGCTATGTTTGAACCATTAAAACAAAAACTTGAATTACTTAAATCATATGGACAAGAAATAAATGATGATGTATATGAACGTTTAAATATTTTACCAGAAAAATGGGCTAATACAAAAAAACTTGCAGTTAATGTTAAACAACAAGTTGCACCATTACAAACAAATGAAGTTGCAAATCTTCGTCGAAAAGTTGCTAATTTTGATGTACGACAATATGAATTTCGAGAGAAATTTCGTAAAGAATTACCATTTGGATATGATCAAACACACGTTTATAGAAAACTAGATCAAGGTAATACTGATATATCAACAATGGAACGTGAAATGCAAATGTTAAATGATTCAGCTGCTCTATTTGAAGTCACAGTACCTGATTTTAAACAAGTTAAACAATGTCGTAAAGAAATTAAATTACTTAAACAACTTTGGGATTATGTTTATTTGGTTCGAACGACATTTGATGATTGGAAAAAAACAAAATGGCGTGAAATTAATGCTGAAACGGTATTTTTAATAGTTTTATTTATATTAATTAATCGATTTTATTTTTATTTTTTGTATTTCATTATAGATGGATCAAGAATGTAAAAAATTCGCAAAAGATATTCGAGGTAAGTTTTTTTAAAATTTTATCCAACTCTATTCTATGGCTTGTTTTATGATATACAAGCAGTTGTTGAATACTTGATATATCAAGAAGAATACTTTTGCTTGTGGTGAAATTTTTTAGGATATTCTAGTGCTTATGAGACCTATCTATGAACGAAATTTCAAATAAAAATTTTGTAACTCATTGCCCCAGAGGCTAAAAACTCACTAAAACATTTACGGTTTACTTAGTTTCACTCGAACCCTACTAATAGCCAATAAATAGGATCGAAAGGTGTCCGACAGTTGGATATTTTTCCTTTATAAATCATAACATTAATATCTCAAAAATTCTTTTTCTTTGTAGCTTTGGATAAAGAAATGCGTGCATGGAATGCTTATTCTGGTCTTGACGATGCCGTTAAAAATATGATGACATCATTACGTGCTGTAACTGAATTACAAAATCCAGCTATTCGAGAACGTCATTGGCTTGAATTAATGAAAGCAACTGGTGTTAAATTTGAAATGACTGATTCAACAACATTTGCTGATTTACTTGCATTACGTTTACATCAATATGAAGATGAAGTTAAAAATATTGTTGATAAAGCTGTTAAAGAAATGGCTATGGAAAAAGTTTTACGTGAATTAGATAATACATGGAAAACAATGGAATTTACACTTGAACCACATACACGTACAAAATTACCATTAGTTGTTGTACAAGAAGAATTAATTGAAGTTTTAGAAGAAAATCAAGTACAATTACAAAATATGTTAACATCAAAATATATTGCACATTTTCTTAAAGAAGTTACTGATTGGCAACGAAGTTTATCACAAGCTGATCAAGTTATACATATATTAATTGAAGTACAAAAAACATGGTCACATTTAGAATCAATTTTTATTGGTTCACAAGATATTCGTAATCAATTACCTGAAGATTCAGCTAGATTTGATTCAATTGATAAAGATTTTCGTGAAATAGCTAGTGAAAATCAAAAAGATTTAAATGTTGTTCGTTGTACAAATCGTCCAAAATTAAATGATCGTTTAGAAGATATTAAATCACGTTTATCATTATGTGAAAAAGCACTTGCTGATTATTTAGAAACAAAACGATTAGCTTTTCCAAGGTTAAACATTTTTTTGTTTTTAAATATCAAATTTATAGAAAAAAAACCTACATTTGTATTTCTTTTTTTTATTTAGATTTTATTTCGTTTCGGCTGCTGATTTACTTGATATATTATCAAATGGTAATGAACCTGAAAAAGTTATGCGTCATTTAACAAAATTATTTGATTCAATGGCTAAATTAACATTAACAGAAGAACGTGGAGCTGTAATTAAACAAGCAACATCTATGTGGGCTAAAGATGGAGAACAAATGCCATTTCCATCACCATGTGATCTTAATGGACAAGTTGAAGTTTGGCTTAATCGGTAAAAAAAAAAAATCTTAAAAAGAAAAATAATTATGTTTAAATTTGTAGACTTCTCGAAAAACAATGTGAAACTGTTCGATATCATTTAACTGAAGCTGTCGGTGCATATGAAGAAAAACCACGTGATCAATGGATTATGGATTTTCCAGCACAAGTAGCTTTGACTGGTTCACAAATTTGGTGGACAGTTGAAGTTTGTGCAGCATTTGCTAAATTAGAAGAAGGTTATGAAAATGCTTTAAAAGATTTTTATCGTAAACAAGTAACACAATTAAATGCATTAATTGGACATTTACTAAGTGATCTTACACCTGGTGATCGACAAAAAATCATGACTATTTGTACAGTATGTATTTAATATGAAATATTCAAAATTTTGTTTTTTTTTGTTTTTTTGTGATTTTTAAAAATAATATTTTCATAGATTGATGTTCATGCTCGTGATGTTGTTACAAAATTAGTAACAAGTAAATGTGAAAGTGTAAATGATTTTATGTGGCAATGTCAATTAAGACATCGGTGGGATGAAAAAGAAAAAGATTGTTTTGCGAATATTTGTGATGCACAATTTCGTTATGCTCATGAATATTTAGGTAATCAACCACGTTTAGTTATAACACCATTAACAGATCGATGTTATATTACATTAACACAATCATTGCATCTTATTATGGGTGGTGCACCAGCTGGACCAGGTAAAGAAAACGACTTATTATTATTATTTTAGTTTATCTTGTTGTTTTATTTTTTTTTTTGTATAGCCGGAACAGGTAAAACTGAAACAACAAAAGATTTAGGTCGAGCATTAGGTATTATGGTCTATGTATTCAATTGTTCTGAACAAATGGACTATAAATCGTGTGGTAATATTTACAAAGGATTATCTCAAACTGGTAAATAATGACTATTTCATATAATATAGTTTTTGTTTGTGTGAAATACGATCTGAAAGGAGTTTTGAAGTATAGGAGTGAATCTTTGGACCGGCCTCATACAGCTCGCGGCAGACGTAGCCATGAGAACGTTACTAGAACCCATCGGATCCGAAATTTTCGGACCCGAATCCAGTACTAACCTGTTGGGTTCTAAACGTAACAACCCCCTTAGCAACACACGTCACGACAGACTTTGTTAATATACGATCACATATCGTATATCAATAACGTCTTGTTACTACTTCCTTATTGTATTTCTGGAAGGTTAAGTAAAAACGAATGGCGAACAGTAGTTACATCGAGTTTTACATTTGAATCCTATAAGGATTATGCTAATCAATTTTTTTAATATTTTTAAAGGTGCTTGGGGATGTTTTGATGAATTTAATCGAATATCAGTTGAAGTACTTTCTGTTATTGCTGTACAAGTCAAATCAATTCAAGTATAAAAATGATTTTTAGAATAGTTTTATTCTTTAAATCTATATGTATGTGTATATAATTTTGTATAGGATGCAATTCGTGAAAAGAAAACACGATTTTTATTTATGGGTGAAGACATTCGTCTTAATCGTACAGTTGGTCTATTTATTACGATGAATCCTGGTTATGCAGGTCGAACAGAATTACCAGAAAATCTCAAAGCACTATTTCGGTAAAAATAAAAATTCAAATATTTATCCATTTATATGTTTATTGTTTTTTTAGTCCATGCGCTATGGTTGTACCAGATTTTGATTTAATTAGTGAAATTATGATGGTTGCTGAAGGTTTTATTGATGCTCGTTTATTGGCTCGAAAATTTATAACTCTTTATTCATTATGTAAAGAACTTCTTTCTAAACAAGTATGTTTTTACTTTTTTATTTATTGAACAAAAAAAAAATTTCAATATTAAATATTTCAAGGACCATTATGATTGGGGTTTACGAGCTATTAAATCTGTACTTGTCGTAGCTGGTGCTCTTCGTCGTGCAGATCCAGGTCGACCTGAAGATCAAGTATTAATGCGTGCATTACGTGATTTTAATATTCCAAAAATTGTTACCGATGATATGCCTGTATTTATGGGTTTAATTGGTGATCTATTTCCAGCTCTTGATGTACCACGTAAACGGTAATAAAAAACTGAAACGAAAGAATACCTTTTTTTTCCCTAATTAAAAATTTAATTTAGAAATCTTGATTTTGAAAAATTAATTAAACAAGCAACAGTTGATTTAAAACTTCAACCCGAAGATTCATTTATTCTTAAAGTTGTACAATTACAAGAATTATTTGAAGTACGTCATTCAGTATTTATTGTTGGTAATGCTGGTACAGGAAAATCTCAAATATGGAAAGTATTAAATCGTACATATCATAATCAAAAACGTAAACCAGTTGCTGTTGATCTTAATCCTAAAGCTGTTACAAATGATGAACTTTTTGGTATTATTAATCCAGCAACACGAGAATGGAAAGATGGATTATTTTCTACTATAATGCGTGATCTAGCTAATGTGACATCCGATGGTAAGGATCAATTTAGGGAGCTGTGGGTCCACATTTTTGTGAACTCGAACCTGACAGAAACTAAGCTTCTGGATCTGGATCCGCATCTCCCTAGACAAATGAATAAAACGTTGAAAGAAAGAAAAACTTAATGAATTTTTGTTTTTTTTTAAGGACCTAAATGGATTGTACTTGATGGTGATATTGATCCAATGTGGATTGAATCATTAAATACAGTTATGGATGATAATAAAGTATTAACATTAGCTAGTAATGAACGCATACCATTAAATCCAACAATGCGTCTACTATTTGAAATTAGTCATTTACGTACAGCTACACCAGCAACAGTATCACGTGCTGGTATTTTATATATAAATCCGGCTGATCTTGGTTGGAATCCACAAGTTGCAACATGGATTGAAACACGTGAAATACAATCTGAACGTGCTAATTTAACAATACTTTTTGATAAATATGTACCAATGTGTTTAGATGCTGTTAAAAGTCGTTTTAAAAAAATTACACCTATTGTTGAAGGTGCACATATACATATGTTATGTCGTTTACTTGAATGTATGTTAACACCAACAACAACACCACCTGATTGTCCAAAAGAATTATATGAACTTTATTTTGTATTTACTTGTGTTTGGGCATTTGGTTCAGCTTTATTTCAAGATCAAATAACTGATCATAGATTAGAATTTTCAAAATGGTGGATTACAGAATTTAAATCAATTAAATTTCCTGTACAAGGTACAGTTTTTGATTATTATATTGATCCAGAAACGAAAAAATTTGAACCATGGACCAAACTTGTAACGAAGTTTCGATTGGATAGTGATATACCATTACAAGTACGTTTTATTAAAAGAGACGAGTAGAAAAAAGAAACGTTGCATTTTTTTTTTTTGTCAACTATAGTCTGTATTGGTACCAACAGCTGAAACAACTCGTATTCGATATTTTATGGATTTACTTTTAGAAAAAGGATGGCCAATTATGTTGGGTAAGAATATCAATTTTTTTTAATTGACTACTAGAAATTTCAGAAAATGTAAAAGAACATAATTTTTCAATGTCCAGGAAGCACGATGATTCTATTCTTACTAATCTATAATCATAATTTGTAATTTAAAAGGTATTTCAGAAAACTAGGAAGATTTTGTGGCTTGTTGAAGTTCAGCAATAATGTTGACTATAGTCTTTTAAGATTTTCAACACGAAACTCTAAAAATTAGGCATATTTTAACGTAAATATCCGAATTAAAATTCCATTGTTTTTGAAAAATAAACCAATCAAGACAGGTCTTCTATTGTTGCAAAGAGTTTATAAAGTTAAAGCGATAAAAAAAATAAGTGACATAAACAAGGGAATGTGAAATTTAAATCTACATTTTTTATTATCAATCAGATGTCATTATTATAAGATGATGTTCACTGATTGCAGTTTACTATTATCGATAAGAAAAGAAATAAATGGTTGAGCTCGTTTTTTTAATTAAAACTGAAAGATTTCTGTTATTGTTTAATGTTTTTTTTTTAGTGGGTAATGCTGGTTGTGGTAAAACGGTATTAATCAATGATAAATTATCTTCACTTAATGAAGATTGGCTTGCTGTTTCTGTACCATTTAATTTCTATACAACAAGTGAAATGCTTCAATTAATTTTAGAAAAACCATTAGAAAAGAAAGCCGGTCGAAATTATGGTCCACCTGGTAGTAAAAAAATTATCTATTTTATTGATGATATGAATATGCCAGAAGTACGAGAGAAAATAATAATTTTTTTGTTTTCTTTTTTTTCATAATAATTTTATTTCTCCAATTTAGGTCGATCCATATTATACATGTCAACCACATACACTTCTTCGTCAACATCTTGATTATAAACATTGGTATGATCGTCAAAAATTAACATTAAAAGAAATTCATAATTGTCAATATGTAAGTGCAATGAATCCAACAGCTGGTTCATTTACAATAGATACACGTTTACAACGACATTTTGCTGTATTTGCTGTTTCATTTCCTGGATTAGAAGCACTTGAAACAATTTATGTTGGTATTTTATCTCAACATTTAGCTGAAGGTTTTACACAACAAGTACAAAAATATGCAAATAGTCTTGTACGTGGTGCACTTGAACTTCATCGTCGTATAACAGCATCATTTTTACCAACAGCTATTAAATTTCATTATATATTTAATCTTCGTGATTTATCAAATATATTTCAAGTTTGTATTTTTTTTTGTTTAAATGAGAACGAAGAAAACACAAAGAATTTTTTTTTGTTATAGGCAATTCTTTTTGCTAAACCAGAAGCAATTAAAACACATAATGATTTAATAAGACTTTATTTACATGAATCTGAACGTGTTTATTGTGATAAATTAGTTGATCGTACTGATATTGATACATTTATAAAATTACAACGTGATGTTGCTAAGAAAACATTTGATGTAAAATAAAAAAAAAAAAGAAAATTTTTTTTTTTTTTGTTAATTAGAAATTCTTGTTTTCATTTTAAGGAACTTGATGAAGAATATGTATTTAAAAAACCAAATATCTATTGTCATTTTGCTCTTGGTGTTGGTGATCCAAAATATATGCCTATTGATAATTGGCCACAATTACAAAAATTATTAAATGATGCATTAGATGCATATAATGAATTAAATGCACAAATGAATTTAGTACTTTTTGAAGATGCTATGACACATATTTGTCGTATTAATCGTATATTAGAAGCGCCACGTGGTAATGCTTTATTAATTGGTGTTGGTGGTAGTGGAAAACAAAGTTTAGCAAGATTAGCAGCTTCAATTAGTTCATTAGAAGTTTTTCAAATAACTCTACGAAAAGGTTTAATTGATAATAATTTAATATTTTGTTTTTTTTATGTTGTTTATTGATTTTTCTTTTTATAGGTTATAGTATTAATGATTTGAAAACAGATTTAGCTGCATTGTATATAAAAGCTGGACAAAAAGGAATAGGAACTGTTTTTCTTATGACAGATTCTCAAGTAGCTGATGAAAAATTTTTAGTATTAATTAATGATATGTTAGCATCAGGAGAAATTCCAGGTTTATTTGCTGATGATGCTATTGAAGAAATTATTGGAGCAATGAGAAATGAAGTTAAATCACAAGGTATTGATGATACAAGAGAAAATATTTGGAAATATTTTATTGAAAAAGTTCGACGTAATCTTAAAGTAAAGCTTTTTTTTTTATATTCGATATATTATGAATTCATAATTTTAAATGGTTCAATCTCTTAGGTTGTATTATGTTTCTCACCTGTGGGTACAACACTTCGAGTACGATCACGAAAATTTCCAGCTATTACAAATTCTACTTCAATCGATTGGTATCATGAATGGCCAGAAGTATGAAAAAAAAAAAAATTTCCTATGAAATTTTGTTTTTACTCTTTTTTTTTCGTCCTTCATAGGAAGCTTTAATTTCTGTCGCTAATCGGTTAGTTAAACATTCTATGTTCTCAATAATCTGAAAAACATTTTTTTCTTATTTATTAGATTTGTCAGTGATGTTGATACACTTAAACCTGAAATTAAAGATTCCGTTGCTAAATTTATGGCATTTGTACATAAAAGTGTCAATGAAATGAGTATTGCTTATCTTCAAGTAAATTTTTTTTGTTTTATTTATTTTTCTTCGTTTCAAACAAAATATATATATATATTTTTTTCGGTTATAGAATGATAAACGATATAATTATACAACACCAAAATCTTTTCTTGAACAAATTACATTATATAAAAATTTATTAGCAAAAAAAACACGTGAATTACAAGAAAAAATTAATCGTTTAGAAAGTGGTCTTGTTAAATTACAATCATGTGCACGACAAGTTGATGATTTAAAAGATAAATTAGCTGCACAAGAAGTTGAACTTAAACAAAAGAATGATGATGCTGATAAACTTATTAAAGTCAGTTGAATTTAGTTTTTTTAGAATTATATTTAAAACTTTTGTTCATATATAGGTTGTTGCAACTGAAACAGAAAAAGTAACGAAAGAAAAAGAAATTGCTGGTGGTGAACAAGCTAAAGTTGCTGAAATTGAAAAATCTGTTACAGCTAAAGCAGAAGATTGTGAACGTGATTTAGCTCGTGCAATGCCTGCTTTAAAAGCAGCTGAAGAAGCTTTAAATACATTAGATAAAACAAGTTTAACGTATGTGAAAATTTATTTTTTTCAAAAAACAAAATTCTTTATATTATATTTTTTCTTCTTTAGTGAAATGAAAGCTTTTCCTAATCCTCCTGAAGCTGTTCTTAAAGTCGGTGCTGCTGTTTTATGTTTATTACCACCTGGTGGTAAAATTCCTCGACCAGCTCAACGTGATTGGAAAGCTTGTAAAGCAAGTATGGGTAATGTCGATCAATTTCTTCGTAAGTATTTAATTAAACAATATTAGTTTAATAATAAAATAATTTCATTTAAACAGAAGCGTTAAAAACTTACGATAAAGAACATATTCGTGATGATATGCGTCGAGAAGTTAAAGTTTATCTTGATGATCCAGAGTTTGATCCAGATAAAAT